ATTAAGATCCCACATGTCTAATTCTTCAACTTTACATTCAACTTGATGTCTATCTAAATCATTTTTTGAAATTTCAAAAATTATATTCACTAAAAATAATTTAAATCCTTTAACTATATACTGCATGACATCTTGAATTTTATCACATCTCCATAAATGTTCTTCTATACTACAAAAATTACATTTCCAACTTTCATCATAAATGTCCGGTTTCCATTTTTTGAGATTTACACATGTTGGTAATTCATTACAACAGATTTTAATTCTAAATAATTGTAGAAAATGGTTCTCAAATAATGTATTATGTTGATCTATACAATTTAATTTCAAGGATATTTTCCAATCTATTAATTCCAATAATTCTGGTTGCTTATATATTTCATTTCTATTCAACCCTAAGAACTCATCTATAAACTGAGCATTCTTAATTCCTTTTATTATTAGTATAGGATTATATTTTACTGGCATATCCTGCCAGCAAATTGTACTACTATGTAACAATAGAGTATCTTCTATTATCAGAGTTTCTTTTTCCATACCTAATTTTGCTAATTTATCTACTTTTTTATTATTTTCATTATTACTATGCGTTTTGATCTTAACTAATTTTATGTTGAAATGGTAAATTCTGATCATCTTAAACAACTACAACCATTTATTCCAAATTTCTAAAATATTTTATTGCTTTATTTATTTCACTATTACTATATCTATTTACAATAATTACTTTATATATACTTTTCAATTTTCTTTTTTTACTTTAATTAATTTATACACTTTTTTTTCCTTTATTACTATTCTTTTTAATTTTTTTTTTTAATTCTGTTACTTTTTTCTTCTGATTATTATTAATTTTTTATTTTCTTTGCCTATTTTTTTTTTAGTTATTTTTTTTTTTAATTGTTTTCTGAATTTCTTTTTTAAGTAATAATAATTTTTAACAATATCTGATTTCTTTTTCTTATTCTTTAGTATGATTGTTTCAACTTTCAATGATAAATTTTCTTCATTTTCTCAAGTATTCTTTTTATAATTATAATTATGCAAAAAAGATATTAAATATTTAATAAATAATATATTTTTCTTATTGAAATAAATTGAATAGTAGTAGTTCCATTTTTCTATAATTACTAAATAATGTTATTTAAAGAATTAGCATTATAATTTATATTTACTATATTATATTAAATTACTTAATATTCAGTAATTATAAAAAGTTGATTAATATTTTATTGGAAGAGTTATTTAGCATTATATTATTTAGATACATAATAAGAGTAATTTGCCACAATAATAGCAAATAACCTACTTGCTGGCATTTATGATTCTGAAAAAAAAAAGATTTATGCATTTGCTCAATTGTTGGAATCTCTTCTATATAGGGATGGGGAAGTTCCACAAATGAGCAGCTCGAACACGGTTCCAAACTGAGAACCGAGCTGGAACCGAGAACCGGTTCCGGTTCTCTAGAACTGAACCGTTTGACTCGAGCAGTTTGGTTCGGTTTATAATTATATATAATATTATAATGGTCATTTGTTGTTACGCCAATTGGCTGAAATCAAAAATGGATGATATTATTTTTCGGAAATACGTCATAATATAAATATTATATCATAATTACGTCATTGATTTTTTTTAATTTTTTTTTTCAGTTAAATAATAAAAAGACAAATAATATAACCATTTCAATTATTCGTCAAAGATCAAATATATTTTACGTCGGTTAGATGCTAAAAGGCAAAAGTTTTCTAATTCTTACGATTATTTTTTAAAACACCATACGAAAAAATTCACCAATAATCAAAGAACTGAAAAATGTTTGAATTAAACGGGAAAGTTACGATAATTATAAATATACAAAATAGGAAATTTTGATTGTTCCTTTAAGTTGAAATAATAATTAATCGGTTAAGAAACTTGTATTTGATCCCGTACACTATGAAATTAACATAATCGTCCCTATCAATATGATGATTTGCCTAAAAAAAAATCTGTAATAAATAAATACTGATAATCTAAAAAGATTACTTAAAAAAAATCCACTCTCATCTCGAAATGTCATTAAGTGACGAAGAATTTGTTCCCGACCAAGAAGATTTAGTGCTTGATGATGAAGAGTTTGATGAAGAGTGGGAAGATGTTTTAGACCTTGATGAGACAGCTAGCCAGTTGTCACGTATGAATATAGGATCAGATACTGAAGCTTCGGATATAACAACTACGTTAGGAAGTGCTGTATGGCAATACTTTGATAAAAATCCAACATATGCTCCAGGCTATAATATTTGCAAAATATGTTCCAATAGATACAGAATAACAACGAACGTTAGTACTTTGCGAAAGCATCTTAATAAACATAGTTTAAGTGTACCTAAGAAAAAATACGTTGTAATTGAAAAAAGAGATCCTTTTGATAAAGAAGAACAACAAATTCACGATAAATACCTTACTGATTGGTTGATCTGTGACCTTCAGCAATTCACGGTTGTTGAAAACCATTATTTTAAAATGTTCATCAATTTTTTCTGCCAGCGATATATTATTCCTGATAGACATAAGGCAAAAGGTAATTTATTTTAAAAAACTTTTTAAAACTCACATAATAACATCTAATTTTCTTTCTATTTAAATAGACTTAATAATCACTACATTTACAAACCGAAGAGACGCAGTTATCAACAAACTCCATAAAATCGAAGGAAAATTCACGTTAACGGCAGATATGTGGACGTCTACCATAAATCAGGAGGCATTTTTAGGACTCACTATACATTATGTGGATTCCAAATGGAAACTCCAGAATTTTCTTCTTGATATCGTCCCTTTTACAGTTAGCCATTCTGGAGCAAATATGGCAAGAGAAATAATGCGAACTTTGGAGGAGTTCAATATTTCCAATAAAATCGTCACGCTCACAACAGATAATGAATCTGCTATGATAGTTTGCGGGAGAGAGATTGCTTTAGATATGGATGATGGGTTTTCATCCATGATTTTTTCTCACTACCGGTGCGCTGCACACATCCTAAACTTAGGTGTGAAAGAGGGACTAAAACTAGTTAACGATTCCATTAAAAAGGCTCGTAAACTAATGAATAGCATTAAAAATTCGACACGTCTATGTGATAATCTTCGCCTCTTGTGCAACTTAAAAGAAATTAAGTACCTTAAACCTATTATTGATGTAGAGACACGCTGGAACTCTACCTATTATATGTTGAGGCGTTTGGAGGTACTTGAACCAGCACTAGTTTTACTAGTAGCTGATAATCGATCAATTCATGCTTTTTACCCAAATGATGACGATTGGATTGCTATCAAAGTAAATAATTTCTATTAAATTTTAGAAAATTTAATATTATTAAAAAAAAAAATAATGCACCAATTTTTTTTTAAAAAAAAAATTAATATTACTTATTTTTAAATAGGATACGCTCTTGCTTCTTGAACCCCTAGAAAAAGCTACCAAATATTTGTCGGCATCATCTTATTCAACGATGGGTGAGACTCGCTTTATTTTTTCGGGAATCCAGGCACATCTAACAAAAAATATGGAAAATGAGACCTTTACGCAACGTGAAATGGCAACTTTGATACACCGGAAAATAAGACAATATTGGATGATTATGGATAAATCTTCGATTACTTCTGCAATTCTGGACCCTCGAAATAAACTTACAATATTCTCGGATGAGTCAAGACTAAGCGCTCTCCAACATATTCAAGACACATACAATACATATAAAGAATGGTCCTTACCTACAAATACAAAACAATATGCTCCTAATAGTACACGCCAGTATTTTGCACGATTGCAACAAATAAATGAAGAAATTGACCAAACCAGCGACGAAATTTCTCCAGTAATTCCAGCAGTAGAATTAAAAGAATTGAATCGGTATCTTCAACTACCAATTGATGAGGGGACCGATCCTCTAACATGGTGGCAAGCGCATTCTAACGAATTCCCGGTATTATGTAACATTGCGCGAGATTTTCTTTGTATTCAAGCAAAGAGAGTTGCGTCGGAACAAGCATTTTCGGTAGCTGGAAATACAATCACTAAAACCCGGAATCGTTTATTGCCGGAAACTGCAAGAGTTTGTCTGTGTATGAAAAGTTGGATTAATAATAAGCTAGTCAAATAATAATTTTTTTTTACTTAGCCAGTTAGCCTAGCTGTTATTCAGTTTTTTTTTACTTTACTTTACAATGCCACTAACTCAAATTTCGTTATTTTTCACTGATGTCAAAAAAAAAACATTTTAATAAATAAATATATAAAGTTAGCCAAATATATAATAGTAAATAATAAGTGTCTTGATTTATTTGGCATAAGAAAAAGAGGCGATTACCGAAATTACAATAATTTTTTTATTTTCAGTTGCGTTTATTTAAACAAAGTGTGCAACTTTAAAAAACCAATTAAATTGGCAATATTTTTAAGGCTATTACTAAATTAGTAACGAATGTAGATGATTGGATCGTCATTAATTATAGATCAAATTTAACCGACTCGAGCCGACTCGAACTGACTCAAACCGACTAGAGCCGTTCCATGAAACTGAGCTCGGAGCCGGTTCCGCCGCTCAGCAGAACCGGAACGGAACCGATGGAACCGTCCCCATCCCTACTTCTATACCTTTTTTCTTTTGATTTTTAAAATAATTAAAGGTAATAAAATTCAAAAACTTTTAGGTAATTTATAAAATAAGCAATTCATTATAATATTAAAATAATATTTATTCTTATTTTTTATTATTAGTTATATAACTCTATTAATTGAAAATTGTCCATTGTCGATGATGTATATAATTCTATATTATAATAAAAATGTTGTCCTTATATGAATAAGGATTAATTAAATAACTATTTTTACAGGATTATGATTTTTTTATAAAATACAAATCTAATATGGAATACCTATGATAATTATCAAAAAGGTAAGATTAAATAACATTTCTAACATTTCGAAAATTCTTAATAAATTGAATAAATTACTTACCATTGGTTGCTTTCTGAAAACTGTCATATAGAACCGTCCTCTTATTCTCAAACGATTGATTAATTTTTACAATCATAAAATCGGCCGCTTGACGCTCGGTTTTATCCAATTGAAATCGATCACGTAATCTTTTCAAAGTGTCTCCTTTAAAGCATGGTAGCCCAGAGCCAAGCATTAGAGCCACGCATTGAATAATTTGTTCAGCATAAGGTCTACATGAATAAAACGGTAAGAATTTTTACAAACGTAAAAATTTTAACATAAATTATTTGAAAAAAGTTTACCGTGATGCCAAATAAGCTTTAATGCATAATTCTGAAAACCATTTAAATTGTTGTACATCAGCTCTTCCACCCATCACTTGAATCATTTCGGTAGTAAGTTTAAATGGCGAACTCTCAAAAGTAATTCCACCAGGAGCGATGTCAAGTATAAACCCAAAATCTGTTCATAATACACAATTTATGATATTATCAGAAAAGTACTTATTAATCAAAAGTTTTAACCGTTTTTTCCTTTAAACTTACCAATATGAATAATATATCCTTCATTATCTAACATAATGTTACCATTATGACGATCTTTAATTTGTAAGAGAAAAGATACGACTGAGTATGCTGCAGCACTTTGAATAAAACAATTTCTTGCCTATATATTCACGTATATTTTGTTTGTTAATACAAATCTTTTTTTTTTAAAAAAAAAAAAATATATAAAAAAAAAAATATTTTTTAACCAACTTTTTGGAACGAAATAGAATCTACTCCTCCATATGTTGTGACAAAATAGCTAAATAAGAACCAACCAGTGTATTAATTTAGATAAACATTCCATTTATCCATAATTTCAATAACTGAAGTATATATAATCCTTACTCGTATAAACTGTTCACTTTCTCGCGCCCTAATTGATCGCGTGAAATTGAATTTGGAATTACATCAATCATCCCACACTAAATGAAAGAATTTCTTTGATTAAATTAATAAAGAAAAAGGAAACTTATTCGAGTAAAATTTTATATTACCCCTGGAGCTGTTGCGACTACTCTATATGGGAAAAGATACAGATCCAATCCCACACTAGTAAAAATATTCTTAAAAATTGCAATCAATTGCAAGGCAAGAACATCTTGTCGGCAATCATCACCAACTTTAAAGATAGCTGATTGAAATACATCAATAGTCTTAGGCTCATCCTCATCGTCATACCCGTCAATCGAACCGGATTGAATTAATGTTTCTTTGATCTCCTCAGAATCATAATCATATATGGTTTTCCGAATTTTAAATGTAGCCATAAAAGGAGCCTACACAATGAAAACAATGATTTTTCAGCGAAAAATTTTATTATTTAATATATAATATTATTAGTGTCCTATTCACCTTCGCGTGACTTTGTAATGGTCTTCCTGACTTGTAGTCTATGTCTACTACCGTTCCCTCCGGATTACTTGGTAAATAAACTCCAACATCTACGTTTATTTTTGCCATTTCCTCATCAATCTTTTGCTGTTATAAAGATAATGAATAATAATTTTAAATCATTGGTATGTTTTCATTTCGATAAATGAAAGCCACCGTACCTTCTTTTCAAGTTTTGATTTTTTGATATAAGGTTTTAATTTGCCAGATATCGATGTAACATTTTTAAAAAAAGTAAATTCTCTTTCGTAAAATGCTTTATCTTCACCGGACAAGGATTCGACGATATGTTTAATAATACGATCAAGTGTTGGCTTTAACGAATCAGGCTGTAACAATAAACTAAAAATTAGCATAAATATTTCAAATAATTCCTAATATAAAAGACTTACTATTGCGCATTCATCATCTTTATACATGTTTGCATTCATATTCCATATAATCTGATGTGCAAACAACTGAGAAATTTTGGCAGCACCCATTATAAACCTTTCTACATATCCTATATAAAATGATTTGTTAAATATTGAAATAAAAGCTTAGAATCAGGAATATTCAATTCATACTAACCCCATTTGTCGTATCGTAATGCTTGTACAATTTGGGGAATATAAAAAAATACAATATCGACAGGATGACATTCCAAAGCACGCATTGCGTATTGAAGGATTAAGGAATTATCATTGTACGTAGATGAAAAGTAAGTGATTGCCGTTATTGGAGGTACAGGAGCCCAATATAATAAGTACTAATAAGTAATTTTTCGAGAATTAGTAAACATTTTAAAATACAATTAAAAAAAAAATGAAATATAAATTTATCAACCTTAAGTTGAGAGAGCACATTTTGATTTAGCTTATCTCCAAGCAACAACGGTAAGGCCTCTGCAACCCGCACAGCCTCACTAGCATTATTTGCTAATAATTTATGAAGTTCATTTTGAACGAATGGTTGTTTAAACCTGAATGCCATTTGAACTGCCAGCTGAGAAGAAATTGACCAAGCATGTCTAACATTATTTTTCCAACTATCCTATTATTTAAATTTTTTATAAGCATTGAATATGATTAAAAAAAGATTAAAAATTTAAAACATTTACCTCGGTTAAGCGACTTTCTACTAGAGAAACAAAATTTTCCTTAATTGGATCCGGTATATTTAATGGATTACTCCAAGTTGCCAAATTACTTATTTCACTTTCAAGAAACAATAGCAGTAACTTTTTTGATTTTGTAGTCTGATTCACTATTTCTTCTCTGTTTTTATCTAAATAATTAAACAAGGTAATGAATAAAAAGGCTTTATAGTAAATTTAAAAAGAAACATACCTGACAATGCAATCGAAATAGTATTTGACAGAGAAAATTGAGAATATTTTTTAGGTGTAGTAGATAGAACCTCACTCAATTCGACTTTATCATTTTCAACCAATCTATAAACTTCAATTAAAAGTTTATACTCCGTAATCATTGCTCTCTTATTACCACCATAGGCCCATCTGAGTAAAATTTATCATGTAATGAAAGTCATAATGAAGAGATTTACAACAGAAAATAAAGCAAAAAGACAACTACCTTGGGGGTAAGGAAAACCAGGAAAAAGCAGAATTAAATATTTTCGTACGAAATTTATGCTCGATTGAAGCTTCCATGCGATTCGATTGTAAAATTTTAAGTGCACACATAAGAATTTGCAGTCTACCTTCACGCGATAAAGAGTGATTGCTGAATATAAATTCATGATAATAATTAGTAATTGAGTTAAAGTTCCATTTTTTTTTTTCCTTTTTTTATAAATAAATATATAAAATAAGAATAATATATTTTACCTTATAAGGTCTGAAGCATCAAGGGTTATTTGAAAAAACCTAAGATAGAGGTCAACCAATTGTGTACATCGATATCTAAATGCTTGAAACCGTCCAGATATAAATTGTAACCAAATTAAATGAGGACCAAATAGTGATTTCGCTGACTTGTAAACTTTATCTCGGGTGGCTTTATCTGAAGGTGCATATAGCATTTTATTCACGAAAGGATCTTTTACACTTTAAACGATAAAAGATACACATCATCAATAGTGTAAACAGATTTAATTATTGGATTTATTAACCTTTAAACACTTACTTGAGTATAGAAGAGAACAATCCTTTTCGCTGTCTTATGGTCCAAATCCATCCATTCGCGATTTCTATCATAATCCTTTTCTCAACTACAGAGGTTTCATTTATTATCCAAGTCCATATGGAAGTAGCCAGCTTTAACGATTCAAGAGTAAAAATATAAATTGGAATCCATACAACATACTGAATGATTTCTTCGTCTGTCTATGAATATAATTTAAATTTTTAATAAGAAATCATAAAAATGTTGGGAAAAAACGCTTCAGAAAAATTATATTACCTTAGGTGAGGATATCAAAATGCCAGCTGCAAAATGCAGCGTACTATTTAACTCTTTCATGGAAACATGAGAGCCTTCATGAATTCTTTTTTCCAAGAGAGCTAAGCATGCTTTTATTCTTTGTTTTTGATCTGCAATTATTTCTTCAGAAAGTTTAACTGGTGAAAGTTCTGGGGTTTGACCTATAATTTTAATATCTTTTTTAATATATATTGTAAATATAAAAATTCGCTATTTAATACATTGTAAATAACCTTCAGTACTAAGGGAAGCTAGCCAGCGGTTTGCTCCAGCAACTTGTCCATAAAATTGTCGTCTAGTTGAATAATCTTTAATAAACTCCGAAACATTATCGATAATTGCACTTGGTACTCGAGGAAATATTACTTTAATACAAATTGTTATTTATAAAGAAAAATTTTATATAAATAACATCGACCAATTTTATAGTTATCGAATTATTATTATAAATACAATGAACATACCCGAATTATAATCGGCTTTAGAAAATGCTTTTCCTATCTCAACTGCAATTGAACGTCCCATATGAACAGAATTATCTGATTGATAAGGATCAAATTCTGCCAGATAATTCTACAATTTAATAAAAATACGAAATAAAATTAGCTTCATTATAACTTTAATCCGTTATCCGTTATAAGATTATAGTAATTGATACCTCTAATAATCCTCGAATTTCTGAAGGTGCACGTGACATCGCAACTGTTAACCATTTTTTGGAATTTTCACATAATCTTGATAAAATTTCTCTTCGATAATTATAATCATCAGTAAGATCAAGTGAAACTCCGACTTTTGGTGAAGTAAACGTGTATACTGGCGAATACTTCATTTTGTAGATTAACGATTAAAATAAGGAAAAAAATACCTTCATTTCATATTCATATTGTACAAACATACCTCGTTCAAGTATTCGGCTTCACAACTTTGCCATACTAACTCAATTAACTCCAATAACAAAAATAATAATTTTTTATCACATAGCAAGGAAGGAAATGCACTCATCAAACTATCAAGATGTTTTATAGACAACTGACTAACTTTGCCAAGACGATGACAAGTAGCAATCATAAGGTCATGTACTTGATTTCGAAGGTTTTCGTTTATAGTATGTGCAATAGCTCTTTTAGAGCATTCTTTGATGAAAACTTCAATCACCTATTCAAAAATGCTGGTAAGGATTTATTCAATCGATAAACCAATTCAATTTCTTTTAACTGACCTGATTGCCAATTTCTTCCATACAGCCAACTAGTTTACTAGCATTTATGCCCTGATTAACAAAGTATCTTAAGATAAAAGAACATTGCCCCATTTGACTTCTCATTATCTCAATGTGATACACAGAGAGTAAGAATGTTATTTCGGCAAAAGAAAAATATTTTATTTCAGAGGCACGATTAGGTAGGAAAGAAGATAATGAGGATCTAACATTGGCAAGATCCTGATGAAAGATTACATGGATTTTAATAATAATAAATCATTAAAGTATAAACAGTATAAACCTAATTAAAAATATAACTGACCTGATCAGAATTACCTCTACGTAATACCGAATTAAATTCTAAGTCGCTCTCAAGATAATTCGTAGATTCTTGCACAAGTGGCGGGGTCTTTTGAGCTATAACTACTAATGAATCTCTCCACTCGCGCATCCAAGTCTCTTCTGATACAAATCCATATAATACGCAGTGGAACCAAAGGTTTCGAAAAAGTGAGACTAATTCTTCAGAGGCATTCATATGAGCTTTAAAATCATCATGAGACAAGAGAGTTTTAAGAACAGGAAGCAAAATCCCAATTTCACCCGCCAGTGAAGTAACCTAAAGATGTAATGAATAATTTTGTTATAATTATTTAAGAATATCTTTATCGTTAATATGTCTGTTTTACCTGAAGTCTACCGTTTTTCTCAACAGTCTGTTGGATCACAACTCCTTTTTCTACGAATAACGACAAAATCCTTAGCAAATAAAGACCATAAAACTCCGGTCGAGAGTTTAGCCTACTTGCTAAATCTAATTGACACTTAAGAACCTTTAAATAATAATAAATAAACATATGAACATATGTATTAATTAAATAAACTTTCAATTAAAAAAAAAAATCTTACAGCCGTAGTAACCATCTTATTTTCTGGCGACAGTGACTGACGACTAATATCTTCAAACTTTTGAACAATTTCAGAAAAGACTTTTTCCGGTGAAACTAATGCGACATCAACAAATTTTTCAAGAATAAGCGTATCCAATGCTGGTGTATGATTATGAAGACGCTGACCAAGCATAGATACTGAGAATGTGGTGATCTAAAAGAAATACAATAAAGAACAATTATATATTGAAAAAGTAATTAAAAAAAAAACGTTATAATAATTCTAATAATTATAATGATGTACATTGTCATCTTTCAAAATACAAGCAACTCCAGTAACCGCGCAAACTATATTTTCATACATCTGTTGACGTTGCTCTTCATTACGCGATATACCACTAACTGAACTATGAATTGACATTTGATCCGAAGCCATTGAAGAATTTGGAGCGAGAAAATTTTTTTGAGAAGTCAGTGAACGGTCATGTCCACCAGAAGAAAGAATCATAAGTAGATTATAGATAACGGATTGAGAAGTACCCTGATTCATTGCCTAAGACAATGGTATTGGGAATCTAATAAGTTCATAATAATAAAAAGTGACAATGCAAAATTATGGTGACAAACCTTTAGACAGTAAGCAAGACGAATTATAGCATAATCTAATATAGATATGTCCTTTTCAACTGTAACAGCCAACTCGAAAATAGTTGACGGTGTAGTCAAAAATCTGCGAATAGTTTGGATCATATTCATGGCCTCAGGAAAACTGTAAAAATAAAAAAAAAAGATATAATTTTTATTCCTTTCTTTTTAATCAAAACTTATACCACTATTTTAATTATACAAACTTTAAAGCAAGGAGAGTAGTTGCATCAAGTGCAGACTTTTGGACTTTAACATCCGGTGTTTGTGGAACGTTAAATAAAGATGCAGTCAATTTACTTATTAATACATCATCAACTTCATGCAAATAAATACTTGCAATAGCTGCCAAATCCTATAAAATTATTGGGCTAATTCAATTAGTATAATAAAAAGAAAAAGTAGTATTGTTAAATGAGTATAACAGTCATACCAGGCTAGTAGCCATTATTTCTCTGACATATAGGGAAGATGGATAGTCGTTGCCTTGCGCAACAAGATTATCCAATAGACCTGTCAATTCAGTAAAATATTGCAAGGACATAACATAGATCTTACGTAAAGCTTTCCTGACATAATCTGTCACAGCTATGTGAATATTTGCTTTACTCTTTACTAACATTTCCCAAATTTCTTTGAATGTCATTGAGGTCACGCTATCATCATAATGATTGCTAGCAATAATAGCGCGTGCCAGCATGTTTCTCATCATTGTAGTTATATCTAAGATAATTCCATTACTTGATAAAGGTGAGCCTCGATGTTGGTATCTCGATAAAAATTTCTTAGCATAATAATGTTGTGGTTCTAAAGATTGTATTACTGTATCTATAATTTGTCCAACTTCCTGTAAGCAATCGTTGTTTACAAGAGATTGAGTTTGATGAGCCACGGATTCAAAATCATTACAATGCCAAGGAAGATGTGAAGTTTGAAAAGCACGAAAAAAGCCTTTTAACAGAGGAAGAATTACAGTGCAAATGTATTCGGCTATCTCATCGAATAAATAGGTAGCAATATTTTTGAATTAATATAAAAACATCTATTATTAAAATAGAATAATTTAAACAAGATTACATACCATTTCCACATCTTAATTGATCCGCCAACTTTCCGAGAGATGCGCAGACGTCTTTAAAAATCTTGTCTCGGTTTTGACTAAAATTAGTCGCAATTTTCAGTAATCCTGATATAAGCTTATCTGAAAGCTGATCTGGTAATGAAAATTCTAACATAAAAATATAAATTATAATTTAATAATAATTATCAAATTGAAAAAAAAAAATAATTTAAATATTTACCCCTCCATGTAAGATCCTGCTCAAAGGAAAAGATTGGAAGATATCTTAAATAATTTAAAAGAATTGGAAGAATTTCATTGACATAGGTTTCACACTTTGTATTAGCTGTAAATGAAGCTAAGGCCGATACGTTTTGGGTTAGAGTTTTTGTCTAATGTAAAATACCATTTAGTCGATTGAGGATAGTTAGGTTAACTTTTAATAAGTCTAGATAATTATTGATTTCCGAGAACGTACCATTAAAATGACGTGTTTTTCTTTTTCACCCCCATTATCATCGTCTAGTAACTCTGGACATCTTTTTATTAATCGTGATACTTCATCGTTTGTAGTACCTGAGTCAATACTTAATGTATCAGCTAGTTGATCTAATACTAAGCCGTGAAGGTCAAATTCAAGACTGAAACAACCAAAGGATTATTAATAAAAGTCTATACGTCTAGAATGAGATATTTAAACCTTTGTACCTGTCCATTGATAGTAACAATTTGGTTACAATACTTCAAGTTTTAATATAAAGGAAGGGAAGCTGTCAAAATAAAAAATAATAAAAAGATTCATTAATTCGGACGCAAAAATATTGACAATTTGTCATAATATAATGTTTTTCATACCAATAGATTACGTGGCGCAGTTTGAATACTCTAGAGGAAAAAAAGGCCAAAAAGGAAATAAGGGAAGTACCCATGTGCTCAGTCTGAGGATCAATTAAAAATCGAAAATTGATCGACGAAGCATGGTTGGGGCGTGCATCAGTTATACAACTCCCGAATAAAGTAACGGCAAAATTTTTTTAATTCAGGCAATTATGTAGTTTCGGCCAGATTTATTATTCCAATATTAGAGGACTAGGCAGGTGATAGAAAAAAATAAGGGCGTTCATCACAAACAGTATATTCTTCGATTTCTCGTTGTAAGCTTTTCATAAACATTTCAAGATTATCTCTCGAATTCATTATCATCAGTGACTTTCCGTTGGTTGCTTTCTTTCGCAAGGGGCAAAAAGTAAACTATTCATTGTGGAACATTTATCGAATTCCTGTCGGTTTAAGCTATTTGCTACGGTTCGCTGGAGTAAATATTTTATATAAAAGTACTCCGCTTCCGTGTTCTAGTTGCCACATTCTTTGGCATTCTAGTCCGTCGGTTTTAATTTATATAGTTAATATAAAGAAAGTAGGAACGTACAATGGGAGCTTGCTTATCTTGCCTTTTTGGAAGTATGTCAGTTTTAAAGAGTTTTACTTTTTTTTAGAAAAAAAAAAAAATCCTACTAAGTTATTTCAATAGGGAGAACAAGGAGCGCGCTTTACGAACCATTGTTGCAAGAAAATGAACGTGAAGCGGTTGCTGATTTATTAACGTATCTTGAGAGTAAGCTCTTCAATTCATATTTGTTAATTAAATATTTATTTACAAAGATAATAATTCGTTATTTGATAATAATTCGTTACTTTTAATTCAATCCTAGATCGTGCCGAAACTAATTTTTTTGAGGGTGACCCATTGCGTGCTCTTTCCACACTGGCTTTTTCAGATAATTTGGATTTACAACGGTCAGCGGCTTTAGCCTTTGCGGAAATAACTGAAAAAGGTTTCTTTGAATTAGATGTTTTTTCAATTTATTGAAAAGTAATTATTTGTTCAAATTTCTAATTAGATTTGTTTCATTTTTTGTATTTTAATTTGGTCGTTCCAAGAAGACGTTAGGGAAGTGGACCGAGAGACAATGGAGCCCATCATGTTTCTCCTTCAATCTCATGACGTAGAAGTTCAAAGAGCAGCCTCCGCAGCGTTAGGAAATCTGGCTGTTAATAGTAAATATCGTCAAATTTTTTGATAAATTATTCTTTAAACAAATTCTAAATCTGCATTGACAATTAATTTAGCGGAAAATAAGTTGTTGATTGTACAAATGGGAGGATTAGAACCATTGATTCGACAAATGTTATCACCTAATGTTGAAGTTCAATGTAACGCAGTTGGATGCATTACCAATTTGGCTACACATGGTAATTCATTTGAGTTGAATTTTTTTTTTTAATGATGTTTTAATAATTTATCTATAATTGAATTTTTCTAAATCAGATGAAAATAAATCGAAAATTGCAAGATCTGGTGCTTTGGTACCACTTACGAAATTAGCTCGATCAAAAGATATGCGAGTCCAAAGAAATGCAACGGGCGCTTTATTGAATATGACGCATTCTGGTATATAATTACTTTAACATTATTACGCTTTTGTAATTAAGTGTTGTGACAATTTAAACATATAGCATTACTTTCAATTATAGATGAAAATAGGCAACAGCTTGTAAATGCTGGTGCTATACCTGTATTAGTTGGCCTTCTGAATTCACCAGATACTGATGTTCAATATTACTGTACAACTGCACTTAGCAATATTGCCGTTGATGGTATCTACAAACATTATATATAATTTATATATTTTTTGATTTTACAATAATTAACTTTAATTTGTTTATTACACTAAAATTATTTCATTGTAGCCTTAAATCGAAAAAAGCTTGCCTCAACAGAAACCCGTCTTGTACAGTCTTTGATTGGTTTAATGGACTCCACTTCGCTAAAAGTGCAATGCCAGGCAGCTTTAGCATTGAGGAATTTAGCTTCAGATGGTAATATTTTTTTTTATTCGTTATGAAGTTATTTTACGTTTTTCGGTTCTTTTAATAAAAAAAAATTTTTATATTAGAAAAATATCAGCTTGAGATAGTTCGTTCCCGTGGACTACCCCCTCTTCTAAGATTACTTCAATCATCTTTTCTCCCTTTAATCCTCTCGTCAGTAGCTTGTATTCGTAACATTTCTATCCATCCACTTAATGAATCTCCAATAATTGATGCGGGTTTCTTGTCACCTCTAATTCAGCTTTTGGCTTATGAAGAAAATGAAGAAATTCAATGTCATGCTATCAGCACGTTAAGGAATCTCGCTGCTAGTTCGGAAAGAAACAAACGAGCGATCGTAGATGCAGGAGCTGTGGAGCGAGTACGAGAATTGGTATTAAATGTGCCATTAAGTGTTCAAAGCGAGATGACCGCATGTGTAGCCGTTTTAGCATTAAGTGGTAGGTTTATTTATTAGTTGAAATCATTATTGCAAATTATTTTCTTGTTTAACTTTTTTCTTTTTTCTTTTTTCTTTAGACGAATTAAAACCTAGGTTATTAAAATTAGGTATATGTCAAGTGTTACTTCCCTTGACGAATTCTTCTAGCGTCGAGGTGCAAGGCAATAGTGCTGCTGCATTGGGAAATTTGTCATCAAAAGGTAATTAATGTTATGATTTTTGTCTAAATCTAATATTTCAAACTAAAACATATAAACCTTTAGTTCAAGATTATTCGCCATTCGTTAACGTTTGGGAAAAACCGGCGGGTGGTTTACATGGTTACTTACAACGTTTCTTAGATAGTACAGACAAAACATTTCAACATATTGCAGTTTGGACTATTGTCCAATTTTTGGAAGGAAGAGGTAATTACTTTTTGTATGTTGAAATAAGATTTTAAAACATATTAATGAAATGTTTTTAACAATACATAGATCCAAAATTGTCTGCAAATATTTCTTCTTCAAGAACAATTTTGACTGCAATAGATCGCTTAGCTAGAGTAACACCTGATGGTGAAGAGCCCTCGGATGATGATGATGATTCAGACGAAGGAGAAATCGTCGCTTTAGCTCGTAAAACATTGAATCTCTTAAAATGATAAACAATATAAATAATTCAGATTTCGTAATCAATTAGAACGAAAAGAATCCAAAATTGGAGGAGCATGTTTTTATTTTGATAATCTATTTTGGAAATATTTATGCCATTTTTTTAGTATTGCAATAGTATTATATTTATAACATATTTGATGTATTTATGTAAACCTTCAATATTATAAGAAATAACATTAAAAAGCATTAATTATTATTGCTTTTTCCTGCATAATTCAATATATTAATTATTTAATTTTTGCAAGGCGTGAAAGATTCTGCAATAATTTAATAAAGTCTTCATATATATATATTAATATTAGATTGAAAAATGGACAAACGAACATATTATTAATGGTCATTAAGTTATACTTGATTTTTGAGATGTTGACAAAAGAGTTCTTTATCTTGTAATCAGATTGTCTTGCCTCATCACATTAATAATTAAGTTAAAGAAAAGGGAAATTTTGATTTTTTTGGACTCCAAGTTGCACGCTGATTATCCATAGAAGGACTATACTGCATTTTAGCTACAATTTTTTCGACTTCTCGGCAAGAACGTTCACGACGCTCAGTGGGAGAGTCGGCATCTTGGTTTTCCAAACGATATGATCGCAATTTATCAATTTTTTTGATTACACTATTCATAAACATATCTTTTTCTTTTGTAGTTGAAAGATGAAAACGCTGCGAAGCATATACTGGAGTTGTGGCTGACTTTGTTAACTCATTTGTCAGTTTCGTCAAATCTTGTACAAGTTGTTGTTCAGGAGAATGCCAATCCTTTATTAAAAGGAAAAAACTATTAATAACTCGAGAAAAAAAATTCAAAATATCCTTTAAAGAATCTTTACCTGATCTGTCATGCGATTTTTGTCCAAGCGATCAATAATCCCATTTAATTTTGCTATCTCCAAATCTCGAACTTGTCGAGGGCTAAGCACTACACGTTGGTCAACAAAACTTCTTGTAGCAGACTTTTGTATTTGATTTACCAGACAATTTAAAGTTTGATATTTCATCACTAATGTTGGCTCTGCACGTTGTTCTTCATAACGCCCTCGAGATAATTTTTTAATGGCAGATGATAAAGCAGCAGCTGTTATATCTTTCTTTTGACGTGGATTTAATTCTACACGTTGATTATTAAGTTGCGGAGCTACATAATAAACACGTTCTATTGCAGAAATAACATTATCTAAATCTACTTTAGTTTTTTCACAGTCCATTTTATTTATGCCCCCCGAACAATACTTAGGAGGTTCGATTAGCGTTGAATCATTTTTGTCATCATTATGACAAGAATATCTTGGAGGAGGATCAATATTTAACCGATCTCGGCATAAGGTCGCGACAATTTCCATTAATCTATCAATTTCATTCCAAGTGGCAAGTCGTTCATCCGCAGCCTTGGATTGATGAGATAGACTCGCACACTGATTTTGTAAGATTGTTACTTCTTTGTGCAATGTACTATATATATTATCTCCATTCACCTTATATATAAGTTCCTCAGCAGAATGAGAATTTGAAGGACCTGAACTTGTATTAGAATTTGAGTTTCCTTGTATTTCATTTAATTCTAAAATTCGGTAAAGGTACCCCAAAAGTGCAGCTAATGTACACGCCAAACTATAATCATCGTTAGGAACGAAAGGAATATTAGCATCTAGATGGTATTGAATCCTATCAAGTGCAGCAACATCAGGTGAAGAAATACACTTTGAATCAATTTGTTGCATTTCATTTTTAGTGCCCAATTTTGTTGCATTGTCAGCAATATCAGCTAACAATTGGGAACGTATCCAAGCATCCCTTTCCTTTTTTGATAAACTTTCAAATTCAGTACTCACATTACTAGATAATATATGACTATAAGAAGCGCGTCTTCTCCAAGTATCTCTTGATATAGGCATGGTCAATTTAAATGCGGGTGGTGGTAAAACATGTAGTGTATTCTCTGACACGATTTGACGGACTAAACTGTCAAGTGCTATAAGCGCAACATGCTTTACGGTTGTCAAAGACTCTATCACATCCTTAATATATTAATTGAATTTAATATATGTTTCAAACTCGTTGGCTATAACCTCATCAAATTCATGTATTTACCTGCGAAAGTAAAACCTTATTCATTTCTTCTCTTCCGGTCATAAGATTTTCGAAGTTTCGTGTATTAGATGCTTCTTCAGAGACATAAAACGTTTCAAAATTATGACTCGTTGATGCGTTCATATCTTTAGATGAATTTATTGGCAATGTTGATTGCTCTATATCAAATTCAAGTTCGCTAAAGCTTTCGTTTAACAACAAATCAAGAATATGATGATCAGTCTCCTCAAAAGAAAGTGGCGGTAAAGTCGGTGACGCTAAACCGGTGCCGCTCTCGCCCTCTTCCAGCAGATCTGTAGGACGACCTATACTTGCGGGCATAGAACTCTATTACGATAAGTTTGTAACATTACTAAATTAATTATCATAAGTATTAATGAATTAACATTCAAATTATAGACATACTCGTTTCACTTTCTTTGTACGGCGCTTTGGCATCTCGGCAGTAGCCATCATATATTTTATGCAAGATTATTTGTAATTTGAATACAGGAAAGACTATTTGCTTAAAATAAGAATTTAAAAAGAAAAGAAACAAAAATGAAGTATTTATAAAACTAATGTCTTACAACGTTTATAGCGTGTTTCTTTTTCATTTATAGTAAAGTTCTCGATGGGTAACACACATTTCAAGTATCTATGCAGGGACTGATTTTCTGCGGATGAATCTGTCTGTATCGCAAATACGACATCCTTTTTTGACCCTCCTATATGCGAATGATCTTATCACACCAACAGCACCCAGAAAAATTCTTCGATCACGTGATCTGTTTTGTTTATCACATCGTCACACCCTGTCCGAGTTTCACTGTTTATATTTATCTGAGGGGCAAAAATTACCTTCTTGACCCTTCTCGCATTACTTTCTTGACCCAGTCAAAATATGCATGATTATGTATGACAAAAATGTTCCTTTCTTGACCTGAAACGCGATTGTGATAAACAAAAAAGAAATTTTATTTTTTATTTATATTTAACAAAAATAGCGTGCAATCTGTCTTTTGCGAGTTGCGAGCATGGTCAATACTTTTTTATTTCTACAATATTGATAAAATTAAAATAATTTTATTTTATTTACAAAAGATAGCTGATAAAAAGATTACATTTAAGAGAAATACATTAATTAGGTAATAAATACTAGCATAAAACTAAATATTAAAATATTAAAATAAAAAAAAAAAAAAAATTATTTTGTCATTTAATCATTAATGATAAAAAAATTTAATCTTTGTGTATATCTCTTGAAAAATTATGAAAATAAGAAAAATAACAACGCGTTAATGTTTTTTGCAGGTCAAGAAAAGAATATTTTTGTCATACATAATCATGCATATTTTGATCAAGTCAAGAAAGTAATACAAGGAGAGTCAAGAAAGTAATTTTTGCATCTGAGGGACTTAGATTTTTTTCAAGTAGATGAAATTCTATTTGTCATGTTTTATTCATCACATCCTAAAGGTAGTTCCTAACCATCACCGTTCACGTGACTGCTGCGTTTGCATTCAGTATCACCACAAAAATTTTCCACCTCACGTGACCTTAAAAATTTGTCACCGGTATCACACCCTTCCTGTTTTCCATTTTTACTATGTATTCTAGGAGGATCCCGGATAATTATATTAGAACTAGAAGGAAAAAAAATGAGATGATTTGGAAAAATCTACCCCAAAAATTTTTTGTTTTTATACCCACTTTTATACATACCACATATAAAAAGCTTAAAATTTACTCAAATTTTACATACCAGTTAGTAAAAAAAAAATTTTATTTATTTATTTTTTTTTTTGATTAAGGCAACGTAAAATACAAGATAAAATACTATTATTAGAAAATGTTTGATAAATCTGATATGCATTAAATACATATTTACATGTGATGTATGTAATTCTTCTACTTGATATCCCAAATAATAAAGTATTCGTTTGGATGATAAATGACAAAAATATTATTACACTTTGAATAAAACAAATTATGCTGCAAATTTCTAAATACTTTTGTAGATACATATGTAATTAGATTAACTTCATTTACAGGTTCTTCAGTGTACGAATGGTTATTTCCTGTTGATATACGGTAATAAACTGCAAGTATTTGTGTAAGATATATTTCCTTATTGATTAATGTCAACGCAAATCCTCCTTTTTGTACGCAAATATATCATTTTTGATTCACAAAGCAGATTTTTTTGATTTATCAAATTGTGTAACCAATTGTTATACTTTTTTTGATTTGGAAGTTTGTAATACAGTAATCACAAGATAATAAATATTCTTTTGATTCGCGAAGCAGATTTTTTTGATTCACCAAATTGTGTAACTAATCGCTATACTTTTTTTGATTTAGGAGCTGTACGACAGTTATTACGAGAAATATTTAATTTTTTTTATCTAATTTACTCATTCTTCATTTCTTTGTTCTTTGTTTTTACAACACGTGTTTTCTAAACAACAGTACATAAAACTTTACAATGGATAATATAAATGAAACTAATTATAGTGAAAGTATTAAATATAATGCTGATAATACAGTAAATGTACCGTTTGGTTGTGCTGCAGATTGGTACATTAATAATGTACCTATACTAAAAATTTGCCGCTTAAAATATCAGAGTTGACAAAAAACTTCACAACTTGTAAGAGAAGGATTTATCAAAATTGAACGTATTCCAAATGCTGTTGATTTTTTAGAGTGAAAAACTAAAGAAGGAGCTGTAAAATCAACAAATAATAGAGTTGACGATATAATAATTTTGACTACAAAGGAACAACAATTGTTACAAGATATTCAACTTGGATTAAAAAATGATTGATTATGCTGGTATTGGACAATGTACTGTTTCGGAAATGGAAATAATTGTCAGAGAACATGTGGCGGTATAGAAGAATGTTTATCAGATTGTCAAAATAGGGGGTATAAAGGAAATTTAAAAAATGCCCATGATATACATTTATGTCAAGTTAGAGTTATTTCAGAATGTTGAATCTCATAACTAGATTCTTCTACTCCTTTAAAAATTTCAATTCAAGGTTTTCACCTTCCTCATAATTTTACAATTAATCAATTACCACATATAACACGTATTAATTTAGATTTGGCAACATGAGATATGATTTTAAAAAGTCGTCATGCAGATCATCATACTGCGAAAGGAATTAAAATAAAAATACTTGCTCCATTGAATAGAGCTTCAGAAGAAAAAATCAGAGAAGCTCTTAATGATAAATAAAAAGTATGTTCTAATGAAAAACTTAGGAAATTAATTGCAAGAAATGATAAACGTTTTAAGGATAATGCAGGACCTTGGACAATTTTACATAATATGATTGAAAAAATATTAAAGCCAAATGGATTTGTATTATACTATCAAATAGCAAATCCAGATGAACCTGAAGGTTCTCCTGCTAGATATTATCAATTAACAGTATCTAATGAGTTTTGGCTGCATAATGGAAAAGATTATGGTAAAATTTGCATTGGATTAGACGGTAAATATGATCTTAATATAGATCGTGCACCTGTATTATCAATTGTTATTGAAAATAATGCCAGTTGTGGAACACCACTTGCATTTGGTATGAATTTTTACTTTGCTGTATTTTAATATTTTAAATAATATACTAATATTTTTTTAGCTTTAAGTAATAAAAAAAATTATATGACTATACGTATGGCCATTTTAGCGGTAAAACAAAACATTCCATGTAATGACAATAATTGTGAACATAATTGGTATTATGAAGATTTACATGATGCAAAAGGCTTTAAAAGAGTTCGTCCATGTTCACAAAATCATTTATGGAATCCATATATGATGATAGATAAGCATAGACCTTCAAAACTTGGAATAGAAGGTTTAACATGTAGCGTTATTTTATGTTAGTTCCACATAATACAAACGTTAAGTAATCACCTTAAAGAGTGGCAAATTCCTCAAAAATTTAGGTAATTAAAAATTTAATTTTTTAAAAAAATTTTTTTGATTTAATAATTTAAAATTTCATTTTACTAGATATCCTATTGCAATAGTGTTCAAAATTATTAGAAGATATCGATCAGATAATATTTCACATAACATGTTTTTGCTTTTTTGTGATTATATACAAACTTTATCTATTAAAAATAACAAAAAAGATTTAATAATCAATAATATAAGAAATAATTGGATGTGTGATGAGTAGAGGTTAAATTTTATCAATGCTGGAAGAATTTTGTATAATTATTCAAGTAATTCAATACCATAGACAACAAATAATTTTACCAAAAGAATACATCGTACAATTGAATCTAATTATTCAGAAAAACAAACTGTTTTAAGTTTTCTTGAAAGATTGTATGGAATAAAATTATCAAGAAATAATTTAACAGAAAATAGCGGACAAAATAACTTTGAGGCTGGGCTTGTAACATTATTTAACACTCAATCAATTGAACAGGTAAATATAAATGCTTTTTTTTAAATACAAAAAATTGTATTTCATTTATTTAATTTTTATTTATTTATTTATTTTTTTTAAAAAAAAAATTTAGCAAAATCTACCAATTATTTTAACATCTGATCAACAAAGAAGATTGAATAAAGGAAGGCTTTATTTTTTATTGAATATGGTTGAATCTACAAACCATAATGATTATTATTATGTTAAACAATCAAAGAATTCTGATATATTTATTTCACCTTATGATGATCAGATAGTGGAATTCACTGAAGAAACGATGAAAAATCTTTTTCCAATGATAAATAAACTGGCAGAAAATGCAATTCAGGAAGCTGGTGGTGTACGACCTAACTACTATATTGTAAATATAATTACAGGAGAGTGCCCTTTATGTTTGGATTATATTTGGAATGGATCTTTACATGATGTTTGCAAACATGTGCATGCAGCTCGTATATATAATGATTACTTAAAATCACAAAATCATGATGAATTTATTGAAAATATAACATGTAAATTCGTTACTTATTTTAAAAATAAGCAACGTGTTTTACCAAGTTCCAGTAAAAATTTATTGATTTATAATGGAAATATTCAGGAAGCATATCAAGAAATAATCCAGTTATATAATTTACAAGGCATGTATTAATTATTAATAATTATTATATACTATATATACTTATTTTTAATTTATATATTTAGGAAATTTGATTTTTAATCATGTTGAACATTCCATTTCAAATCATATGAATGATCCTTTCCGACCAGATGACTTAAATCATCATGCGTCAAGTAATTATGGTGTTCCATCCAAACCTCCAGCTAAACCAAGAAAAAGAAATCCATTACAAATGCAATTATCAAATATACCATCAAACCCTCTATCAAATGATTCTAATCTACCATTAAGTTCATTACCACTACCATTTTCTGTGCAAAAAAGACAGACTAAAAGGATCAGACAAAATTTGCAAAAAAATAATGTACCAAATAGAAAGCAGTTTTAAAATGATTTTGATTGATTTATATTTTAATTATAACTATTTTAATCTTATTATTTTTTTATTTATTAGAATTTTCATAACAAAGAGAATATACAAACATCAAGTTCAATTTCTAATAATACTCAATTTATTTTACCAAGTCCAAAAAATCAAAACTTACTGAATTTACTAAATATGATTTTGATGAATTTGATGGATTAGAACCACTAGAAGACGAATTAAATATTGATCAAAGTAAGTATTATATATAAATATTTTACTTATACAAAAATTAATATTAATTTATTCAATAATGTATAGTGAAAGAAACTTGTCCTTTTTGTGATGAAATATTACCCGACCTGATGTCTGATAAAATGAAACTAGCGTTAGATAGAATAAATAATAAACAAGGTATTCAGTTGGAATTATTTATTATATATTAAAAAATTAATATTTCAATGATATTTATTAATTAAATATTTTATAGGAAAAATTGAAGAATCAGATCGTATAGATTTTTGCCATACTCACTTTGCAGAACTATCAATCGTTCCAAGTGGCATTGCGAATAAATACCCCCTTAACATCAATTTTGATGAGTTACCCCATCGTATCCATAGATTTAAAGATGATCTCACAGAAATTATTAATGGTAACGCTTATAGTTATTATCTTAACCTTGCAAAACAAGTATATCAAGAAGTTGGACATAGGAAGGCTGCAACACCAATGATGTTAATGAGTCGATTTGAAAGCTTAAGAGTGAGTAATTTTTATACTAAAATTAATTTTAAATTAAATTCTGTAACATACTAATTAAATCTACAAATTAGCCAGGATATTATGGATCTAAAGGCGCTGTTTTAATCGCAAATACTTTAATTGATTTATTCATAAATACTCGTATTCTTACGGCTGTAAAATCTTATCCGTTACAATCAATTAATTATATTCAGGAAGTCCTTGTTCCTGAAACAGCAATGAGATTAATATTTGAAGATATTGGTGGTAATAGTTCTTTGGAAACTGCACGGAACATAATGATAGCTAGTAGTGATTTTAGTGATTATGTGCATAATTGTGATAATGAATAAAAAAATGATTATTTGCTAATATAATTAGATAATAAACAAATAAACAACTAATAATAAAAAAACAATTTCATTAATATAGGTTTGTAATATTAAATATTAAATTTAATTTTTATACGCGAATCAAAAAGTACAGCGATTGGTTACACAATTTGGTGAATCAAAAAAATCCGCTTTGTGAATCAAAAATGATATATTTGCGTAGAATAGTATTGATGGACGCGAAATATTGTCTGATCAATTCAATATTTCAAGCCTTAAGTATCTCATTTATAATCAGATAAAAAAAAAGATATTATTATTCATAATGATAATTATAATGATCTGAACCTTTGGAAGATTGACATCGCTCTCAGTAATAAACTTGAAAATCTTACTGAAGAACAAATTTTTAAAAATGGCGAACGGTTGTCGTCTTAAGGAATATTTTCCGGATCTAAATACGGTTAACAATAGTATTATCGTCATACAATTGGCCAGTAGATCAGATCGTCCGATCTGAATCAGATTTTTTTTTTTACAAACCCTTTCCTGGACGAACGGACGCCGAACGACCAAGATTTAAAAGAACGAACTAGGTAAGTTCGTTTCTTTTTTTTTTGTTATTTTTACTTGAGGGAACGTAATTAACGGTTCCCTTCTTTTTTATTAGGAAGCCTGGACGAACGAAGCCTAACGACCAGGATTTAAAAAAAAAAGAACGAACATATGGTAAGTTCGTTCCTTTTTTTTAAGGTTTTTTTTTATTTTTTATTTAAGGGAACGTAATTAACGTTCTCTTTCTTTTTTTTTTAGGAAACCTGGACGTGGACGAAGTCGTTAACGACCAGGATTTAAAAAAAGAACGAACTATGGTAAGTTCGTTTCTTTTTTTTAGGTTTTTTTTTTATTTTTACTTAAGGGAACGTAATTAACGTTCCCTTTCTTTTATTTTTAGGAAACCTGGACGCGAGACGAAGCTGAACGACCAGGATTTAAAAAAATGAACTATGGTAAGTTCATTTTTTTATTTTTATTTTTATTTTTTTTTTACTTTAAGGAACGTAATTAACGTTCCCTTTCCTTTTTTTAGTACAAGGACCAGATCCGAACCAGATTCGGATCAGATTCAAATCGGATTCAAATGGATCCGAACCAGATTCGGATCAAATTTAACCAGATCTGATCAGATTCAGATCAGATCAGATCTATTAAAATAAAAATCAGATCGAATCAGATTTAAGCTGAATCCGGTCTGAACCGCCGATCTGTTAGGAGCACTACCCACCACTGGTAAGTGTCTCTCAACGTTTTACCTCTCAAACAAGAAATGACATAAGTTTGTAATGGTTCACTAATTTAAATCATCTTGCTCGTACAGGTCTTAAACGGTCAGTTTTCAAACCCAATTTCAAGATACAAGGGTTCGTAAAATTGTGAAAACCAAAGGTTTCGTGGATATTGCAAAAAATTTTTATGTTCCACTTGAAGTTCTGGAGTCAACCCGTGAACTGGAGGAAGCTATAAATGAGAATGTGTGTGTACTCCTAGTGGGGCATTTCCAATCTGGAAAATTGTCAACTCTATTATTTGAAAAATATCAGAAAGAATTATTTTTATATACAATCATCAAGGTTAGCAATGGGATTCTTTCGTGGGTTATGTGACCTACTTTTCTTGAATTTATGTAAGAACATAATTGATTTTGATAAAAAAAATTGGGAGAAATACGGGGAAGAGATGATAGTAATCATGATTGATGAGTTTGACCAATTTTTACTTAACATTCACCACCAAAATGATACAGTCTATCAGATCGATAAGTTGCCACAAGAATTGTCACAAGAATCTCAATACATGAAACAGCCCCACTCCTGTCTTCAACAGCCAGTAGGAATCTTTCCGTCCCCATTAAATTCAGTAAAAATCATTGGTGTCAAATTTTACAAAAAAACAACACATAAAATTTTTTCATGATATCCAAGTAGATAGGAATCTTGATTTTAGTGAAAAGGTTGTTGATGATATTTACAGCTGTACTAATGGTTATGCTGGACTAGAAGGTCTTTTTGCATCTTTGTGTATTGAATATGCTAGCAATAAGGTAGTCCTTGACTTTAGTAAATGGAATGAACGCTTCACAGAATTTATTCGTAATCCTCCAAAAAGAAAGATTAGTGCAATTAAAGTCATTGAAAAATACCTCACTGAAAATACTGATAATAATGATAATACTAATACTTATATCAAAGATGTGAGGTGTCTTTTAGAACATTTTTTACAAAGAGAATCTTTGCCATCATCAGAATTTAATGATAATGACATTTAAGGTTGGTTGCCATAAGTAACAATTACTATATATTGAATTACAACCTTTAGCAGTTGTAATATTATAAACATAAGTTGTAAATTGGCTGTAAATACTACACTATTGTGGTTAGCTAAAAGATGATAATTTTGATTTACAACCATTATATTTACTTGACTTTTGGATTTACAACTATTTATGGAGACCAACATTAATAATATTGCCATTGTGCATTTGTGTGCAATTGGCATTATTAAGAATCAGGACAATGATTATGTGTTCACTTCTAATATTATTTTCGATCTATTGTCAAGTACTTATTATCCTTTCTATAATGAAGTAACTCTGCCAAAAATCACAGTTATTAACTCACCTCAAGACTTTTTGATGAAAGTTTTGGACCTTTTAAAACACATTTGTCATGATGTAATTTTTGATCCCTTAGCCACCAATCAGCACTCTTTTTCTAAAGCAGTTATTCAAGGAGAACTTTATATCTTATTATGTGTGGCTGTATCATATCCATTGTTTAAAGTTTTTTGTGAAACTGAAACTTTGAGGAAATCTGAAATAAAATGAGACATCTGGGTATGCAATAGCAATAAGTATGGAATTGAATGTAAAGTCAATAAGGTTTTTGATAATGAAATTAAAAGTGCAAATGAACAGGCTATTGGATACACAGAAGGACAAAAAAAAGTATGCTGTATGTTAGTCTTAAACTTTGTACTGCAAGATAGTAAGCCTCATGGTTATCAATTCACTTTTCTAAACATTGATAAGCCAAAAAAAGGAATTTACTTTGAAATGGTTCATATATTATATTCACAAGCAACTCGAAATGCAAAAATCCTTTGCAATGGTATGGAGGATGAGGAAATTCAAATTATTATTTAAAGATTTTAATAATTCCACATTATTTATTCCCTTTTTAAATAAACTAAAATATTCTTCATTTTATTCATTCTATTCAATCTTTAATGTGAACTTGCTAAATTTTTTTCATTTAATAATGTTCAATAACCAAATGATGTTATACTTAACATCAAGTAGTCATTTATATAGTGTTCATTTAATTCTTCTCAATTCACTTTTTAAATAATGTATTACTATACAATATCCACAATGCTAAGAAAATTAATTATATCTAGGTATAATATATATTATTTTATTATAAATAAATTCTATATGTAGATGCAAACTACAATTTATAGTGCTGAAATAAATAATGTAACATGAGAATATTTCGCTATGTATTATACTGATCTTTTTATTTTTCTGATACTTATTACAGACGAAAAGCAAAATTTTATTAAAATAAATGACAAGTAAAAAGTTTCAATTTTAACTACTACTTCTGTAAAAAAACTTCACTAAGCAATTGAGTTAAATAAGTATTAAAAAATTTACTGCATTGACGATGTACGTCGTGAAGTTAAGGTGCGAAATTGTATAATTAATGAATCATTTATTGTAAATCTTTAAAAATTTAATAATATAATGATAGTTAACCACCACATCTGTCTAATAAAATTTAAAAATTAAATTTTATAAATTTTTGAGATTTATGTAATTTGTCAAATGATATGATTACATGACATATGTTTAGACTATTTTTATACTACTACTCTTTCTCTTTCATTTACCTCTATTTACCACATTTATTCCATTTGTTTATTTCATTAATTCATTTATTTCATTTACCCTTATAAAATTGCATGAAAAGAACATATGATACACTTTTTTTCTCTCATTTTATTCATTTTTTTTAAAATATTGCTATTATTCTTTAATATTATAATTTATCAATAAAATATACATTCATTCTAAAATTAGCTTCTTTTCTTTTTAACAAACAATTCATTAAATAATCTATCAGTCTCTTCTACTCTATAATTATACATGCCACCCAAATTATTTTGGACTGCCGTAATTATAAGTAAAATCCCAAATTCAATTATGGCATCCCAAATTATTTTGGCACTTTACATAGTAAATTATATATAAACCGAATGAATTATGGCATCCCAAATTATAATTATAGCATCCCAAAATAATTTGGGCAGCATGTATACTATAATTTAAGCTATTATCTTCATTAATATTCTCCATTCTTATTCTTTTTCTTTCTTCATGTAAATCTAATGTAATAAAAGATATATTTTTGGTATTTTCAAAAGCTAATTGAAGTTTGTTTTATCTGTCATATTTGGATGACATTTTAAATCATATTTGTTGAATAATCCTTTAATTTGTTGTTAATATATAACAATATAGTAAATACAAGATTTAACAAATTCATATAATAATGGAAATTCATATATTGGTAAATTAGGTGAATATGTAAAGTTTATAAATTTTTCTTTAAATAATAGATTATCCAATGGCATATGCAAGCCAAAGTTATTAAATACTTTTTGATTTTCTAAATCTAGTTTAAGTTGTTTTGCATAGCATAATTCTTTAAGACTTAAAATATATTTCCAAGGTAATCCTATAATAGTATTTAAATAACTATATGCAAATTTATAACTTCTAATTTGCATATACTTAATGGTAAATGCAACCACATTTCCATCCATGTTTCCAATAGATTAAGTGTACCATCAATTCTATTTACTAATCCATTAACAAAATTCTCAAAGTCATCATCTTGTAAAATAGTTATAACCTTTTATATTTGAGTTGAAAAAAAGTCATATGGATCAGATTTAATGGCTTTTAAAGATTAAATCCAATGTAGAACTATATTTAGTATCTTATGAACTTTTCTTTCTGGTAAAAGTCTTGAAATGTTACTATTATTGTGTAATATTCGTGGTTATTCTTCAGATTTAACAAGAAAATCTATGATTAGTTCATAAATTTTTTCACCAAATTTGCAATTTTAAAATTAGATCTGCCAATGCGATTTTTTTTTATTTTGTAGAGCTCGATGAAAGCTACAAAACAAAAAAAAATCGTACAAATTGGACCACTGGATACTGAGATAATCGCAAAAAACTGATTTTTTTTTTTGTGAAATTTAGGTCAATCTGCAAAAAAGTTGCCACTGAATTGTATATGTAATATCTGGGATTCTAGTAATGATAGACATCAAAATCAACCATTTTGCAAATGGCAATAATTTAAAGAAAAAATGTTGTAAAATATTTTTTTAAAGTAATTATAATTAAAAATGTTTTCGTAACATTTTTTAATTAATTTAATAAAAAAATATGTTTTTTTAAAATAAAAAATATTTTTGCAACATTTTTTAATTATAGGACCAGACTGGACCGAACTAAAATAATTGGTTCAGTCTGATCTGGTTTCAGATTCTCCTTTTAATATAAATTGGACTGGACTGAAATAAATTAATTTTTTCAGTTCAGTCTCAGATTACTTCCCAACTTGAATCAATCTAGAACTTTAGTTGAAATTTTTAAAAAAAAGTAAAAAAAAGTTAGTATATGATCCCACTTATTTATAATAAAAGTTACTGTAAAAAATTGGCTTTTTACTAATAATTTTTACCTTACTTTTTTCTTAAATTCTATTGTTTAATTAGCTAAAAAGAAAAAAAAATCATAATAATATAATATAAAATTTCCTTTTATGGCTTTTATAGTAAAATCTTTATATATGATTTTTACTTTAGGCTTGAAAATGACCTATCTTATAAGTAAGTGGGATTCTGTTAGTACTGTTCTAAAAGAAAAAAATAAAAAAAAACAAAAATTTAAATCTTCTAAACATACTTTAAAAAAGATGGAAGAAAATAATTAATCTGTTCTTGTTAAAAAAAAAAACAAAATAGTTAAATACTATTCTTAAAATAAAATTATAATTTTTAATAATTTGTTCTAAATATATAACTATAAAAAAGTTAATTATAGTAAGTAAAAGTCTGATAGCAATATGCAAAAAAAGGCTTATAATTTTACTATATAAATAGATCAGAGTCTAAATATATGATTAATTTATTTAAAAATTTTATATATATTATAGAAATTAGATTAAAAGAAGCTCTATAAAAACTAAAATATACTTAAAATAAACTTAAAATTTTATTTTATACTTAAAATATATTGAAATAGGCAAAAATTAAAGTATAATTTAAGTATATAATAATATACTTAAAATATTCTTATTTTAAATATCCTTAAAATATACTGAAATGGGCAAAATTTAAATGTAAATTAAATATATTTTAAGTATATATTAAATACAATTTAATTCAAATTTTGCAAAAATTTAATTTTCAGTATATTTTAAGTATAAAATAAGAAAATTAAGTATATTTTAAAGAAAATTAAATATATGGAAGGTGGTCAGTAGAAAAGGGGGAAATCCAAATTTTAGTTAAAATTTTTTTTATCAGTTTACTTTGCCAATTATGATCATGGGAACAAAATTAGCTTAATAACCAAAAATCTTAAAATTTTTGAATTTCTCTCTTTTCTACTGACCGCCTCCCATATTTTAAATATATTTTAAGTAAAATTTTTTTTTATAGGGAAGTAGTATTAAAAATTGAAAAATTACAAATCCAATTTATATAAAACTTTATAATAGATACCTCAAAAATAATACAAAAGTTTTTTGGAATAATATAATAGTACAAGTGCTATTTTTGAATTTGATGTAAATCATATAGTTTTAAGTAAAACAAGCATTCATAATAATTATTTATTATCCAATAATCAGAAAAATAAGTTAGTTAATTTTAAGCATTTTTTATTTATAAATTAAATAATTATAAATAAATAAAAAAATGTGAAAGATGTAATATGCAATGCATAATAAATATACATATAATGTAAATTTGTATAATTATTTCATGTAATTGATTTTTATTTAATAAATGCTGTAAAGTAAATTTCTAACTGCAGTTCAATAAAAAAAGTTAAAATTAACCAGAATTTTCATATTTTTAATTAGATTACAGTCAACTCTCTTTATAGTCACACATTTGGGACAGTCCATATTTGTTGATTATGAGCAAACAGTCTTATGACTTTATCTTTTATTATAAATTTTTAAACGAAAAGTACAAAACTCAAATCGAACAATATTACAAATAAAATATAGAAAATTAAACATAAAAAATAAAAAGAACTAGCTTCACGATTCATACAAGTAAAGAAATCTAAACAAAATAAAATTAAGTAAAGAAAAACTAAACTATTACAGAAACGCATACCCCAACTTTACCCGAAGGCCTGT